CTTAGGCATTCTCTCTTTGTAATTTTCAATGAGTATCAGGAAAGCAATGTGAGAGTTCCTTCTAAATGTAGAGTAAATAACTTTCAAAATGTTTGATATTAAGCAGAGTGGGGTAGCGGAAGGAAAACAGGTAATTATATCCCTATTAAGACTATTGATACCAAAAATATAAATATTCATGTGTAAAGTAATGAAAACCTAGGGAAATCAAATGATTGATGTGTCAGACTATAAAACCATGTGTGAGTTTTTCCCCCCAAATTTTATCATTATCATTATATAAGTATCTTTCCAACCTAAAAATATATTGACTGTCATCACTGCTACCTACATCCTCCACGGATGCACAATGTTAAAGATTTATAAAGTTAGAGGGAAGCTCAAGAACTCTTTGATTATTACACCCTTCTTTTGCCTAAAGAGAGTGGTTGAATCAAATATTTGAAAGTATGCAAAAACACTATTGGAAATACTATATCATCACAAGGCAATGTTAGTGAATATTTGTATGCCCGATATATACATTTGTTCATTAGAAAGTACATTTCATAGGTCATTTCAAAGCTGTGAAACCAGGATCTCTTGACACTGTGATTGAACATTGACATTCTCCATAGGATGCCATAGTCCTACTTAATAATGCTGTGCGCTCCTAAGGTAATGTAAGACGTAGTCACGCATAACCACTGCAGATCACTCATAATAATCCATGATTGGTCATATGGAGAAACAAATACATGTCTGAAATTTTAACCAAAACAAAAATACATTTAAGATCAATTAACCTTTGAAAAGATTGATAAAATAAATTCATCCCTTAGAGGAGTGCTCAGGATAAAAAGAGAGAAAATGTCAACTATCGATATCAGGAATGAAAAGGGGGATATCATTAAAGATCCTACAGACATTAAAAGAATAATAAGAGCACATTAGTGCAATTTTATGCCTATATATGGCAACTTAAATTAAATGAACTAATTTACTGAAAAACGTAATTTATCAAAACTGACACAGGAATAAATAGAAACTCTAAATAGCTCTCAAGGTATTAAATACATTGAATTCATAATAAAATACTTTCCTATAGGATAAAACTCTAGGCTCACGCTTTCGATGATAAATTCTATCAAATATTTGAAAAAGAAATAATACAGAATTAACACAAATTCTTTCAGAAAACAGGAGAGAAAATTTCCTACTTAGGAAGCTATCTTTACATCGATATCAAAATCTAACACAGATATTATAAGAAAAAATTATACAGCAGTGTATTGTCCATAAACTTAATTACAAAAGTCCTAAGCAAAATATTAACAAATAGAATACAGCTCTGTGTAAAAAAGGACAATGCACCATGACTGAGGAGAGTTGTCCTAGAAATAGAAAACTGGTTTAACATTTGAAAATCACTTGGAAGTCATGATATCCACAGAATGAAGGAAAAAAATACATAATCTGTTCAATAAATGGAGAAAAAAGCACTTGACAAAATTCAAGACCCTATTTATGATAAAATCACCCACAAACAAAGAATAGAAGGGAATCTCTTCAATGTGATAAAGGATATCTATTAAAAGCTATACTTAACATTACACTTAATGGTGAAACATCACAACTTCCCCCATAAGGCAGAATAACCTCTCTTACCATTTCTATTCAACAGTGTTCTGAATTCTGTACCTGTTCAATAAATCAAGAAGCAAAAAAGCTATAACAATTGTAAAAGAAAAAGTGAGATTTAGTTTTTGCAGACCTCATGATTATGTATATAGAAAATCCCACTGAATTCACACACACACAAAAAAATAGAACTGACATATAAATTTAGCCAAATCACAGGATATAAGGTCAATATGCAAATATCAATTATATATCTCATATTCATGTACATTTGGGAAATGACATAAACTTTAAACAAATTTCATGTAATATTATCAAAAACATCAGATAAATCTAATAATGTGTAAGACCTCTATTCTGAAAACTGCAAAGCAATGCTAAGAGAAACTAAAGAGGATGAAAATAAATGGACAAATGTACCATGTTCATGAATCAGTTAACTAAATCTGGCTAAAGTATCAATTCTTCCGAAACCAACCTATGAATTCAACTGTAATCCCATCCAAATTAAATTAACAAGTTGAATCTAAATGTATGTAGAAATGCAAAAGAAGAATAAAAAAACCTTTATAAAAGATGAAAGAAGTTGGAAGAATTTCCTTACCTGATTTTAAGATTTATTTTGTGATAAAAATGAAGACAATGGAATATTAGCTTAAGGACAGACACACAGATCAATGGAACAGAATATACAGTCCAGAAATAGACTGGCTTATGTGTTCAATAGATTTTGACTAAGATGCCAAGGTAATTTAATTTGCTAAGAATAATTGTTCCAACAAATGGTGCTGGGACAGTTGGATATTCATCTGTACAAAAAATGAACCTTGATCTTAACCTTACCTCATACACAAAAGCTAACTCACTTTAGATCATAGACCTGCAAGTACAAGCTAAAATAATAAAACTCTGGGAGGAAACATAAGAGAAAATATTTTTGTTTATGCATAGGCAAAGATGTCCTAGGACATAAAACCCCCAACTGTAAAGGAAAAGAAATCATAAATGGACTTCAAATTAAGAATGCCTGCTCTTTGAAAGACCTCATTAAGAAAATGAAAAAGCAACCTACAAATGGAAGAAAATCTTTCCATACCTGGCATGGTTCTTCTATCCAAAATACACTTTTCAAAATGCAATTCAGTAAAAAGGCCAACACAAATTAGAAAATATGCCTCAGCAATTATACTCTTAGGTATTTAGCCTAAGAGAAATGAAAGATTAATTATATACCAAGATTTGTACATGAATATTCATAGCAGCCTTATTCATAATCACCTACAATTGGAAACAACCCAAATCATCCATCTATAGGAGAATGGATAAACAAAGGGTAAATTATTACTATTAAGGAATGCCACTGAGCAATAGATTTGGTGATATACATGAAACATGCAAGATCATAAAAGCGTTATGTTGAACAAAAGAAACTAGATATAAAAAATACATGCTAGAGTGATTATAATTATAACGTCTACTTTTATAGGTTACATTTCTATTTCTATTTGCTATAACTTAATGTGTAATGATAGAACTTACAAAGTGGTTACTTTGTTGGGAACACAATGAAACTTTCTGGAAGGAAGAAAACATTGGAGGTGTTTTTGGTAGAGGTTCCTTTTGTTTCTACAACTGACGAAATTTACCAAACTGAACACTTTCGATGTGTACATTTTATTGTATATAAGTTCTATTTCAATTTAAAAACATAATTATTTAGAACCAATTAACTTTCAGGGTGTATTCTATATCAGAGAATTGTAGAAGTCTTTCTGATTGCCAATTTTTGCCTCACAAGCCTTTTATTGTTTACTTTCTTCCCAGTGGTTACATGGACTATATACTCTTTGAGACAGGAATCTTCTTGGTATTTTGCACACCTAACAGCATCTGACTCATAACGAGTGTACCACACCTCTGTTGTTATAAAGCTAACCTCAAGATAGATATTATGTTAGCATTATGGATATTATTATTATTGTTAACAAGTGGATATGTCATTTAATTTGCAGCCAGTATAAGAGTCCAGTAACTGATAAGATCTGTCAAGATGTTAAGCATGTATTTGCTCAATTCAAAGGACTAAAATATGTCAGGATGCCTATGATTAGGATCCTACATCTACCACTTTAAATAGGAAGACACAGAAGTCCCTGAATCTGAGGTTCCTTATCTATAAAATGAGCATAATACAAGTATCGCCCTCATAAGAGTTACTGTGAGGATTAAATAATAATTGTAAAAGTCTTAGAAACACTTATATAGCTAATATATAAATATTAACTATCATTATTATTTAAGATCCACTTTTATGTACGGGTAATGCACTGAAAATATGAGCCACTGGAATACATTTGGAATACATTTTTAAAACTTTCCATCAACAATTATAGGCACTATGATGAAGCACACAACCCTCATTTCTTTTTTGTCAATGTTTTGAAAATGGGTATTAAATTAACTCAAACTGCAGGAGCAAAGGATTAAAGAGTAGCTCATTCTATCTAAACTACATTCCTTTTTTTTTTTTTGTGAGACGGAGTCTCTCTCTGTCTTCCAGGCTGGAGTGCAGTGGCGCGATCTCGGCTCACTGCAAGCTCCGCCTCCCGGGTTCACGCCATTCTCCTGCCTCAGCCTCCCGAGTAGCTGGGACTACAGGCGCCCATCACCACACCTGCTAATTTTTTTTTTTTTTTTTGCATTTTTTTAGTAGAGATGGGGTTTCACTGTGTTAGCCAGGATGGTTTCGATCTCCTGATCTCATGATCTGCCTGCCTCGGCCTCCCAAAGTTCTAGGATTAGGGGCATGAACCACCGCGCCCAGCCTAAACTACATTCTTCAAAGGTATTATTTAAGGAAAATGTATTCTTTGCAGAACCTTTAAAAATCCATTGTGTTCAACACATAGTTATTGAGTACCTACTGTAATGTGTTTCCCTTAAAGCAAAATATCACATTAATTAATTCAATGTTGCCTGTAAATGTGTGTGTACATGGCAAAGGTGGAATTTTGTAAAACACTAGCCTCCACTACAGGCTTATTTCCCAAATCTGCAAAACTCAGCTATTCTGGAAGAGGGCTGGTGGGCTAGGGGAGGAGTCCAATATCATAATCAGGGAAGTACCTATTGATCTCAGAGGCTTGAGGAAGATAGGCCCATTTTCTCCGCCCACAGAATCATCAGCATCCTAAGCCACCCCACTGAGAGATGGGTCTAACCCCTCAGGTGTTTTTCAGGGAAGAAAAGCCACTTGGATGAAATTCCACACCTAGACTAGAGGACCTTGTTTAGTACTCCCCCTTTTATTCATTTATTTGGCTTTAAAGAACTACTACATGATCTTGCAACCGAAGAGGAGGAAAGTAAAACCAAAATACCATGGTCTTGATCTGGTGCTTCCAAGTTGTAACCGTACCCCAGCAGCGTGCGCACGGCCTCGCGGAGGCTGTCCTTGTTGGATTTCTTGGTTCGGTCATCCAGAAGAGTGTAGGGAACAAGGCGAGGATTTCTTCTGTTCTTTACGTCCTGCAGGGAAAAATTGGGTGCAGATGTCTAAGCAACACCAAGGGCTTTTAAAAATAAATAGCTACCAAATACATCAAACTTAAAATTCCATGAGAAAACCTGACCCTTCCACAATCCCTGCGTTTTCCCAGGCTGCAAAGTTACCAAAACACTATCAATAGAAAAGATTCAATCAAATGAATAAGCACCTGTATGGAAAGCAGGCCCTCTCCATGAGAAGGAAAAACAACAACAACAAAAAACAGCTTCAGTGATCTCTAACCACTTCCACCTGCCACGTTCACATGGCAAAGGACAATAGTAGAGAACACCCAATTTGCAAGTACAGTTCATGGACAGGGTTTTATTTCAAGAAGAGCCAAATGAGTACTGGTCCCCCCTCCATGGTTTTCAGTCAATGAAGAACTTAAGGCTGCTTTCCCTTCTTCAGAAAAATTCCCGTGTGTTATGGACCACCCTTCTATGTCCCTAATTGAAAAATATGCACTGGGTTGAATCCATCGACCAGTGAAACCCAGCAATGCGAGGGGCACTAAAATGACTATAAAACTCATAATTTGTCTATTGTAAAAGAGGCTCCAATGTTAAACTGTGGTTAAAATGTGTTGACACACACAGAGAGAGAGCGGGCTATCTTACTATCTTGGCAAAAGGATGCTTAATATCAGAGTACAGAACTCAATTCCATGCGATGGGGGAGATGCATCAACTCCTACAAGTGTGTAGGGCAATGCCACTTTGGAAGTTACTTCTTTCCATTCACTCCCTGAGACCAGTTGCAGTATTTGCTCAAGTTTCCACATTTCAAGAAGTATAATCAATTCTCAATACTTTAATGTAAACAGGCATTGGGAGGCTGTGGATGTTCCCACCACACCTCCCAAGGGTTAAAAAAAAAAAAAAAAAAAGCTATGGAATCAGACAGGGGTTGTTCTGGTAAACCAGAGAATAAATACTGTGGTGGTGTTGGTGTTGTTGTTTTGTTGTTGTGTTTTTATTATTTGGAAACAGAATCTCACTGCAGCCTCGACCTCCTGGGCTCAAGCCATCCTCCCACCTCAGCCCCCTGAGTAGCTGGGACTACAGGCATGTGTACAATGCCCAGCTAATTTTTTAATTTTTCATAGAGACAGTCTCTCATTATGTTGCCCAGGCTGGTCTCAAACTCCCAGGCTCAAGCAGTCCTCCCACCTTAGCCTCCCAAAGTGCTGGGATTACAAGTGTGAGCCACCACGCCCAGCCAGAAATACTGTTTTGTCTTGTCTTTTCTTCCTTTCCTCTTTCAGGCAAATTAGTACTGAATACCTAATCCTGAATACCTTAATACCAAAATACCTGAATATCTACTGATGCCTGGAGCAAAATAATCTGCAACAGTAACTCAGTGGCGAAACCGGAACTGATGCGAGGCTGTTTATGGTCTTTACCCCTCTTGGTATGACCCTGCCTCCCTTGTGCAGAACGAATTGCAATTTGAAGTCAGCTGCCCTGCCAAGGTTGTTATGTACATATATGCAATATATCCTCAAATCACCATTCTGAAAACCAAATAAAAAGACTGAATTCTGAAATGTATGTGGCCCCAGGGGTTATGAATAAGGAATGGTGCACCCATTTTATTATCATTTTATCCCAATGTTCTTACATTTCAAAAGTTTCTCCTAAAACACAGTCTCAGAGAGAGAAATACCACAAAACCATATTACAAGTCACCAATGTAGTATTATATTATTCATCTTGTGCCTCACATGTGTTCGCTATTACAGTCAGAGCTAACGTCATGTAAGTTCTTCAGTCTAGCACTAAACAGGTGTTTTAGTCCAAATGTGCACTGTGTGTGATCTATATGATACGAGTTTTAATATAGCCATTATTTAATCCTTCCTGTTACAAATTATGCTAATTCCCACTTAAGTAAGTCTCAGACCAAATGCTGTGGAGCTCATTCCCACGTACCTGCTGGATGCCGTAAGTCCAGCCCTGCCGGATTCGATCCCGCGCCCACACATTGTGTGCATTTTCTGCCAACTTGTCCACCATTGCTTCTTGAGACGGGGTGAGTTTGATAAAGCTCAGGTCCATAGGGGCGGGCTTGTATCCACTTGTCAGCTGGTAACTACAAATCAGAGACAAAGACATTTCTATATAATTGGCCTTTTCATAAAAATCCCTGTAAACATCATTTTCTGGCCCTACCTCACTGCTGTTGTCCCATAAACCACAGTGGTAACCACTGGTGAAGTACCAGACAGCAAGCCGGGGTTCCTTTCACTTTAGCTAATAACTGATCAGAAGGAAAAGCCACATAATCTTTGTGTTTTCATTTTTACACCAATAAGACAGAAATGAGACAACTTACCTGTCTCTCAAAGATGAAAAGGACCGGTCATTGTTTGTGTTCCTAATAGCTGAAGCTTTTGTATAGTCTAAATCAAAATATTGGTTACTTACTAAAATATGTTAGAGATTTCTCTTCCTGTGAAGTCCTCATTTTTCTTCAACTGTTAAATGTTAGATTAATGTAATATTTATTTCATAAATCAGTGTATCCTTCAGATACTATCTATTTCTTATTCTACAGGGAAATTTAAATGTATTTGTAATTTATTTCCTTATTGCCGTTCCTAGCTACATTATTTAGGAAGCCTTTAAATAAGATAGAGACTAGAAAGTAAAGAAAATCTCAGCTATATAATCATCTAAAATCTGATTGCATTTTATTTCCCTAGAGTTCAAAGATCTCTTAGCAGAGACTGCTTCTATATTCTAGGCTGGAGAGAGAAGGTACTATCATAATAAAACAGGTACAAGTTTTAATTGTTAGAAGAAATACAAAGTTGAAAATATTAACTTTTCAACCCACACATATAAGGGCAATAGTACTGCCCTGCTCCACACAGAAACACAGTGTTTCATTCTATTTAACTACTGAGATTGGCACAAAGCCTATTTTATAACTGCTTTTCTTCCATTCTTCTGTCACTGTTGTATTCCCCATTATTGACTACACCTTGAGGTCAGGATCTGTTTCTGATTCATTTTTCTAACTGCCATTATCCTCAAAACAGTTCCCAGCAGATAACAGCCTTTTCATATATAGTTGTTGAAATAATTAATTTTATTTACCAAATTAACATAAACGTAAACGCATCTTCAACTCAAGAACATTCACTAGGTAATTATGCTAAGTTACAAAATGAATTATTAAAATGTGAGAAAAGGCTCTTAAAAATACATGTGAGAAAAAGCTGGGCACGGTGGCTCACAACTGTAGTCCCAGCACTTTGGGAGGCCAATGTGGGTAGATCACATGAGGCCAGGAGTTCGAGACCAGCCTGGCCAACATGGTGAAACCCAGTCTCTACTAAAAATACAAAGGTTAGCCAGGTTTGGTGGCGGGTGCCTGTAATCCCAGCTATTTGAGAGGCTGAGGCAGGAGAATCACTTAAACCCAAGAGGCAGAGACTGTAGTGAGCAGAGATCGCGCCACTGCTCTCCAGTCTGGGTGACAGAGCAAGACTCCATCTCAAAATAAATAAACAAATAAATGCTTTTGAAAATAAACTACAAATTCTCTTAAAAATAAACTACTACTCTGGGCTATGACTGGCATCATTACAAGGCAAGCTCCTTGAAAGCAAGGAGTTTGTCCATTTTATTCGCAGTGACCCCCTAGCACCTAGAATAGTGACCAACACATGGTAGGCATTTAGTAAAAATTTGTTTAATGAATCAATATATTACAGCAATAAATAACTTTTTTTAAGGTTGAATACAGTTGGCTTTAGCTTAACTACTTCTATTTTACTATAATACATCCCATATATTATAAGTAATTTATCTATAGGCAGGTGTGGTAGCTCACTCCTGTAATCCCAGCAGTTTGGGAGGCCAAGACAGGTGGATTGCTTAGAGCCAGGAATTCAAGACCAGCCTGGCCAATATGGCAAAATCTCATCTCTACTAAAAAACACAAAAAAATTAGCTGGGCATGGTGGTGCACACCTGTAATCCCAGCTACTTGGGAGGCTGAGGCACAAGAATCGCTTGAACATGGAAAGTGGAGGTTGCAGTGAGCAGAGATTGTGCCACTGCACTCTGGCCTGGGTGACAGGGCAAGACTCTGTCTCAAAAAAAAAAAATAGTAATTTGTCTATAGACAAAAAAAAGTAATTTTTCTGTAGACAAAAGCTTTACAAATGTTTTGTTTTGAGTAGATTATAACAATTAGGACAAATTACTGGTCTATGTCTTTCAATTTACATTCATAAGTTAAATTTATGGACATTAAATTTTGTTCCATTTTAAATAAAAACTGTTGTATGGGCAATTAACTGTAGCTTTTGTATTTTAATAAAGAAGCCATGTGGGAATTTTTTTTTAACAACTCATAGAAATCATGGTATTTGACAGATTTCTGACATTTAAATAGGCAAATCTATAAACTGTAATCACAGCTGAAGATATAAGTTCTTATTTGGAAAGTATTTTCTTTTATTTTAGAATATATATATAGATATTTATGTAATTAAATTTTAAAAATCCAAAACATTAATATATATATTTTACATATTATATATTTATGTTTTTGATTTTTATTTTTGTTATTTTTTGAGGCAAGGTCTCTCTTTGTTGCCCAGGCTGGTCTTCAACTCCTGGCCTCAAGCAATCCTCCTGCCTCAGCCTCCCAAACTGCTGAGATTACAGGCATGAGCTACCACTCCTGACCTGGAAAGTATTTTTTTTTTTTTTTCCAAGAAAAAGCTCCCAATACATTTCAAATGTACCAACAGGTAATCAAGCTAGCATAGTCTAGTTTCCAAGTTCAACAGTTTGCTGGAGGCAGCCTCAGGGTACATGATGAAGAGCCTAGTATTCTGTACTTCCTTACCTCCCCACAACTACTTCTCACTACCCACAACTGGCCCATGGTCACCCAGCACAAGCCAGCACACAATCTTCTTTCACTTTCTAACAGCCTTGATCCCATCCAGCAGCCACAGAGGCCATACACATGCTGAAGTTTCGATATCCACCTGTGAATCACTGATTGGAACCATTGCTACCCTCATGAGGGATACATGCATTTCCAAAGAGGAGTGATACTTTCTGGAAACCAATTTTTAATGGTAGACTTTCTAGCAATATCTCATGGAATGCGGAACTACTTTTGAAAGGTGGAAGGTGGGAAGGAGGTCCTCCCCCATAAAAACTTATAGACAAGTTCTACTAATGTGTGAAGCTGGATAATATTGACATAATCATTCGTCTTTATTTTCTATTTTTTTTCTTCCCATGCAGATTTCTTCTAGAATTGCTTTAATCTGTGATCTCAATGAAAACTTATGGAGATGCATTTGCATCTGTTGAAGTAGTCCGACAATTTGTTCACGTTTATCTTCAGAGGTAAACTATAACTTATTTTACTTTCTTTTCTCTATACCCTTGTACAAAAAAGGATTTGAAGCTTAGAATTGTTTTGTTAATGGCTAATAATCCCGTCCAAATTATAGTTACAAACTCTCACTTCACCTGAACCTTTTTATTTCCACCTCTTTTGAACAACAAATCATTTGTACAGTAAAAATAAATATGAATATCTATGAAATTCATGGACTTGAGCCAACTATAATGGATAAAACTATTGATATCATGAATGTTTCACCAATATGAATTAATGGTAACAGCAATAATTTATAAAACTATTTTTCTGTGTGTAGTACATTCTGACAAAGAAACTAAGAATCAAATCGTTATATCAAAATGAGATATATTTAAAAGTAAATAAGTGTACTCTGACAAACAATGTTCATTTCACCTTATTAATACAATTTAATTAGGTACACAAAGGACAACCAACGGCTAATATGAATTATTACCTTTTTGTGGTTAAAAATAAACAAAGCCTTTGAATCAAATGTAATTCACATGAATCAGAAGCTGAATAGTTTCAAGTAAAATTTCAGATTGATTTCTAAAAAGTTAAAGTAAATAAAAAAATACTAAAATGACTCTTAGAAGGTAAAATTTTATAGCCACCAAAATGGGAAAAAGTCATATTATTATTATATTAATACAAAAAACATATTGCTCATATTAAGATGTCTCTGTATTACATTCTACTTTCTCAAACATCATGAGAAACTTCTGCCATAATCAGCCAACAGCTTTTTTCTCCTCCAATTTATTTGTTTAATAGATATACGTAGCTTTTACCTCCTTTCTTTACCATGTACGTTCTCTGTGCCATCAGTCATCCTGTAAAATTAGCTTATGACGAATATATACGAAGTTAAACAAATAATTTAATATGCTCACTTTACAAAATATCAACATACTTTTATAGTCATTAGCTCTTAGTTTTATTTTGGCAACTATATACTTTAATAAAATAAAAAAGAATAAAACAACGACATTGAGAGGAATAAAATGCCTAACAGTTTAGGCTTCGCTTTCCTGATAGCAAAAATTTTTTTTAAAATACCTCTGAAAACAAAACAAAACAACAAAGATCCCGGCCAACTGTCGATTATATCTGCATCAAATCACCAAAGATATAAACAAAACATTGACAGTGTTTGGCTGCACTGCGGAATTGTCATGTTAAGTTGCAGCTCAGTTTTTGCTTCATTCCCATCTGACCCACATTTTTCCTAAGCAGGTATTCCAGATGAGCCTTTGAAATGAAGGCTCAGTGTAATATAATTAAAGGGCCAATTAAAGTGATTTAACAAAAACAAGGCAGAATACCAAAAACAGTAAGCACCAATCTTTTGTTTTTTTTAAGCCACCCCCACCTCCCAAGCTTACTTGTTTAATATGAATCAAGTTAAATGAAGCATGGAAATCATTATATTGTGAAAGATGTACGCTAAACATGTAAAGGCTACAGCCAAGTTCAGGGAGTGTTAGCTGTAAATTTCAAAGCCAAATCAGTCCTCCAAGTACCTTGGAACAAATGGGAAATCTCAGATGACTGCACACCAGAGACAATAAGAGCAAGTTTTGCTGAAAGCACATCTACTAGAAATGAATGCTAGGCTGACATTTTCACAGAAAGCGTATGGAGAATATTCAGAATCATTCTCCAGAAAACAAATACAGAAGGATTAATTT